CTCTCCCACGCCTTGTTCTTCCGGGTATCTGATCTATAACCATCTTGTGCCTCGTCCTCTTTCTGGATCCACGCTTGTTCCAACGGTAAGCTAGATTCGCAATGTACTTTGGCCTGTCATATGGAGGCCACTCTCTAGGGTCTCGGAAAGGCACGAAGCGGGGGCTCCATGTGTGCACAAATGTGTCAACACTGAACTCGTGAGGTATCCTGCTCTCGATATTATAGTTGCGATGCCTAGCTACTGCCACCAAATGAGAACATAGAAAGTGGTACTACCTTGGTTTACCACAAGTGCATGTAAAATCTTGGAGGACTACCACATGCATCCTCGACTCTCGGACCTTACCATCGGACGTTGTACTGTCCCTATGATCGACCTGATAAGTCCCTGTGGCGTGGTCAAAACATGCAACCTCATGTGTGCTAGCCCTTTCATTTGCCTTCTCTGGGTGTGCCTTTGGTTTTGGAGCCCATATCTCTCCATCACTCCACAACTTCATTGCATGGGCGTGTCTATTGTTGAACCAGGTAACAAGCTTGTAGTAGGTGAATTGAACGATTGCATTCACGGTCACACCACGTATCCCCAACAGCAATTTATTGAATGACTCCGCCATGTTGCTGTACTGAAACTCGTACTCCATCCACCAGCATCGTGGGTTCTTGTCCATTTCTCCAAATCCCTCATCAAACCTGTGAGCCATTGTCTACCTTCTGCATTTGATACAGTTTTGACCTGCTCCAACTTTTTTTGAAAGCACTTGTCCTCAAGCTGTCGAGCAGCCTCCTGGAATAGATCAAAGTTATCCTTCACACCATCCTTCCAGAGTAGATTCTCGGTAAGGTGCTGAGTACACCAATGATGATGCAAAGGTGCATACCCCTCTATCTGCTCTTACATGGCATTAAGTATGCCCTGGTGTCTATCAGATATGACGCCAACCTCACTGCTAGGCCCAACCATATGTATCCGGACTAGCCTCAAGAACCATCCCCAACTGTCATTGTTCTCCTTCTCAACCAAAGCAAATGCCAAAGGAACCAACTTGTTGTTCGCGTCACAGGATATGGCTATAAGAAGTGTGCCCTGGTATTTGCCAATCAAGAACGTACCATCAATGGAGAAGATAGGACGACAGTGCCTAAAGGCCTCGACACACTGAGGGAAACACCAGAAAGCACGAAAGAACATCGGCCTCCCATCCTTCCATGCATTTGGTTTTAGGATGTACTCATAATGCATGCATAGATTCATCGCTTTGATTGCATTGAAAAGTACTCACAACTGCTCATACCCATCCTCCCAGTCTCCATATATCATCTTCCACGCTCGCTGCTTAGCCCTTCAAGCTTTACCATTAACTGCTTGGCAATAAGGGTAGATGTCAACTGCCGATGCTTCAGTGTGAGCACATGGTCAGCACAACTGTGTGGCCCGACAACTTTTGTGATCTTCCACTTTTCGATGACCTTTTGCTTTCTTGCACAAACCCTCCATGGACAGCGTTCCTTGTCGCACACAACTGTATAACGGCGCTCCGTATATGAATGCAAGAACTTATAAGGTCTCTTTCGTATCACTACAAACGCCTGCAACACCTCTTCAATGCAGGGAGGTCCTTGAATACCCTACCCTTCTCAATTACCATGTTAGGGCCCGCCTCAGGAGCTTCTAGCAGCTCATCATCACATCCTTCTGCACATGCCTGATCGGAATGAGCAAGATCACTGAACTCGTGAACTCTTAGATCACGGCGGCCAGGAAAGATATGCCTCAGCATCTCAACGTCACTCTCTGTCAGCTCTCCAACAGGACGATCATCATCAGAATCAAGAGCCCTTGCCATCTCATATGGCTCCAAATCATTCATAATTTCAACACTATTGGAGCCACGGGATCCATCTCTACAGTGCACTTGCGCAGCAATAGGGGGCACATCCACATTGTCAGGAATGTCTCCTGCAACATAAGTAGAAAAAACAGGAAAGAATGAGAAAAATGGATATAAGGAAGGGGGTAAGCTCCCAATAATGATGTAAATAAGACACTTACTCGGATGATTCTATGTCAAAGGGATCTCTTGAGGAGGATCTGTCACAACATCATGAGTCTGACAAGCATCTCCAACTAGCTCATTGGGGGCAGATTGAGCATCGAGAACCGTAGGTGCAACCTCCACATCCATATCAGGTTCCAAGATAGGAGGGTCAAAGTGTGCCTGTGGACCCATTGGCGGGAAAACCCATGAGGGATGGGATCAACTAACACCCGGCGCACAACCATATCCAAACTTTAGAACTGGCTCTTCATAGCCGACCTCACATAGTTCTCTCACTGATCTGCACACCCAATTGGGATCATATTCCTAAGGATGTTGGGAGGGGAACCTAGGTGAAGTACACCCTCAACTGCGATGCCATCATCGTCATGGCAATGTAGCTCCTCTCGAGCCCTTGCAACCAACTCACTAAATGAAGGCTTCTCATTGAATAACACAGGCACGCTTTGCATGTCAATAAACTCAACATATCCATAGCGATCTCTTTTCACGGTGCCTCCATGATATATGCTCACTAGGTTGTCCATCTAGTTCACACACATAACGAAACACATTTCCTTTAGTCCAATATAAATGAAACATACTAAATACAAGGTCTCTAGTACGTAATAACTAACTAAATAGATACTATCAATTCACTACCAACTACGAAGTACTACTAACTAACTATGTCAAGTAACTATCTAACTAACTATGTAACTAACTATATAAGTATTTAACTAACTATCTTACTAACTATATAACTATGTAACTAACTATATATCTAACTATGCAAAGTATCCATCAATCAACCTATCAATCTAAATATCTTTCTACCTATCTAAATCACTACCACGCTAACTAACTAATAATCATTGCTAAATAAGAACAAAATTAAAAAAAACTAATGTACCTCGAGTGCAAGGGAGGCGCAACCGGTCGACCGAAGGCAGAGACGGTCGATGGGAAGCTGCCATGTGCCCATGCGTGCTCGTGGCCGGCAACCGGAGCGGCCAAGCGGGCGGGGGCAGGCAGCCACAAGAGGCATGCAACCGGCACCCCGCTACCAGTCCACGACCCCCGCTGCCCCTGTGGAGCGGGCAAGGGAGGGCTGCGCAGCAGGGGCCGGCGCCGTCGCGGCCGTCCGGGTTCGACGATGGGAGGGTGGCGCAGCAGTCGTGAGCACGGCGCGGCTCGGCGCGCGGGGCGGGGATGGGTGCTGCGGGGCGCTCCCGGCCAGCGCGGCTCGGCACGACGCGCGAGGCTCCACGGCCCAGGGCGCGGCTACCGGCGCAGAGCGGCGCGACGTGCGGGGATGGGCGCGGCCAGACGGTGTGTGGCAGGCCGCGATGCCTGTGCTCGGGGCAGGGCGGCGCGACGAGGAGCGGTGCCGGGCGGCGTCGGTCAGGCGACAGAGAGAGGGGTGAGAGAGAACAGGAGAGGAAGAGAGGAGAGGAAGGAAGAGAGAGAAAACAAACCCACATGTAGGACATGATCGGCGCTAAGATCTTTGGCGCCGAGCCCGGCACCAAGATTTACGGCGCCAAGACCTGTGGCGCCATGCTGCCTGCTAGGTCACCTCCACGTTTGCGTTGACGCCTACGTGGCCCCGAAACCTAGGCGTCAAATATGCTGGCGCCGAGACATGTTAACTCGGCGCCAATTACCATAGCGTCGAGCTAAGGGTCTAGATTTTGAAAGCATACCTCCAGAGATATATTTGTGACAAACTATAAAAAAAAAAGGGCTAAAAAAACAAAAAAAATTCAGGCGCCGGTACTTCCACATGCCCACCGCGGCGGCGTGGAGCGTTAGTGTCGGCACGACGAGGTCCGGGTGCCACGCAAGATTGCGTAGATCTCATCGAGGTCCGACTTGTGGCTTTAAAATATTGTTTAGTATTTTAACAATCTCAAATAAAAAATGTAAAACTATAAAGTTGTAGATTTCATTAGGAACTACAACTTTTATATAAAAATATTTTCCTTTGACACCGTACAAAAAAAATGATTTTTCTAATGTGACAAGCGCTCGTATGAAATTAATATGCTGCTGAAACCTTGTATTATTTTTTTACTATCTTAACGATCTTAAATGAAAAAACTTAAAACTAGAAAGTTGAAGGTCTCATTGAGAGCTACAATTTTCATATATAAATCATTTTAATCCAAGATCATATGAAAAAGATATGAATTTTTTAATGTTGGACCTTAACGCACCAGTACGGTTAGCATGGTGCTACAGTGCTGCCACATCAGCAAGAGTGGCGCGGCAAGGCTATTCAGCAAGAAAAATCGTTGTCCACCATGGCAAATGGGAAAGACCGCGCAGATGAATCTAACGCGCAGCGTGTTTTTTGCCGCGCCAAGCTTGTTGGCGTGGCCAAAAGGGTTAGAAATAAAAATAAAAAGTGGATGGTATTATTTTTAAAATAAGATTTGAAAAGGATTAAAAAAACTCCGAGTGGAGGCTGTTTGGCGCAGACCAACTCAGAAAAGTGATCCATAATCGGTACGAAACGGCCTAAAGTGTCAAGAGCAACTTCTCAAATGCCAAAGGACAATACGCCGGGGCCAGATGGACTTCCAGGACTTTTCTTCAAGGAATGCTAGCCAATAATCAAGTATGCCATCATAGTGGTCGAGTTTGACTTTTAACCGCAGACACTGAGACACAGCAGCCTTGCTTGCTAGGACGTCTCCATCGACGAGCAGCAAGATTTTTTTTAACTGTATGACATGTCTGTGTGGCAGCTATTGCTCGAGGAGTGAGGGCGTACGCGCCACGCCGGGCGGGGCGCTGCTAGGCGCGCGAGGCACTGGAGGCCGGACGTTGCTCCGTCTCTTTCCACGTGCCGACTCGTGCCTTTGGTTCGCTAGCGACATTGGTGATTTCGTGCGAATTTAAGAGCGGCAGCCGGCAGGCGGGCAGGCCAGGCCACCAACGCCGGCGCAACGAAATGGCGGCAGCCGGGGACAGCGGCCGCCTCCTCTGCGTGACGGGCGCCAGCGGCTTCATTGGCTCCTGGCTCGTCCGCTGCCTCCTTGACCGCGGCTACACCGTCCACGCCACCGTCAAGAACCTCCGTAAGTGACACATGTGCTCCGATGCTGGCTCAGCTCCCAGACCTCTTCCTGCTCTGCTCGCCGTGTAGCCTCAAATTCAGTTGCCCGGTTGAACCTGCCGGATTTTCGCAGCAGAAGATGAGGGCGAGACGAAGCACTTGCAGGCCATGGGCGGCGCCGACACGCGTCTCCGGCTGTTCCAGATGGACCTCGTCGACCCTGCTTCCGTTCGGCCAGCGATCCAAGGCGCCCATGGTGTCTTCCACCTGGCGTCTCCTATGATACTGCAGGCAGAAGATCCAGAGGCAATTCTTTCTCCATGATCGATCACCCGATCGTTGCATAATCCGAGATTGCTCGAGTAGGTAACACGTGTATTGGTTCCGCGCATGCATACAGAAGGAGCTGCTGGAACCTGCGGTGAAGGGAACCCTCAACGTTCTGCGTGCCGCTAAAGATTGTGGAGTCGGCCGCGTTGTGCTCATGTCGTCACAGGCGGCTATGGTGCCGAATCCCAACTGGCCTGCGGGCAAGGTCATAGATGATGATTCTTGGGCCGACGTTGAGCTGCTCAAGAAGCTTCAGGTAACTGGCTGCTTTGTCCTCAAAGCTGCTGCACTGTTGCAGATGCTATGGTCCAGGGCTTCATGCTTGTGCTCATTTATGCTCTGAGTTGCAGATTTGGTACAGCGTATCCAAAACACTGGCAGAGAGAGCCGCATGGGACTTTGCCGAGAAGGAGGGGTTGCAGATAGCTGTGCTCAATCCAGGGATGGTATTGGGCCCAATGTTAACACCATCAGTTAACACCAGTCTGCGTCTGTTGCTGCAAATTCTGGGAGGTCAGTCAATCACTGTCTCTTGTTGTGTTGCAAATCTGCAAAACATGAATATTTATATATGCTCTCATGGTACGAAGTATCTAAAGAGTGCAAACTACCCAGGCGAGAGGCTTGACTTGGACGACATCTACATGGGCTGTGTTGATGTGAGAGACGTCGCGCACTCTCTCATAATGTTGTACGAGAACCCATCAGCACAAGGACGCCACTTATGCATCGAATCCGTTGAACGCCTGGTTGATTTGGCCAATAAGATTGCTGATCTTTACCCTGAACATCCGGTTCAGAGGTGACACATCTATGAAAACCACTTTAACAGTTATAAAATGTTCTCCAATTTGCTAATGTTTTCTTTTCAAAATAGAATCCGGGAGGACAAGCAAGGCTGGGTGGTGAGAGCAAAGGAGCCTTCCAAGAAATTGATCAAATTGGGTGTTCGTTTCACTCCACTGGACGAAACCATCAAGGACACCGTGGATTGCTTTAGGAGCAAAGGACTCATCTAGCTTATGAAGTATGATTTATGGAAAACTTTTGTAAACACTATGCGGGTCAAATAAATTACCTAAATGCAGTAAAATAAAATCTGCCTTTAAAAGCATAATATGCCACGTGGACATCATCATTAGATAAACATGTTGCCTGAATGCATATACTCTTTCCAGTAACATAATTCTTGAGCTTTTGGATACCGACATGGTATCAAAAACAGTTTTGACTATGATTTTCTATTTATATTGGAAGTATACAATAAAAAAATAAACATTTTTATAAAGTACTTTATAAGATTAATATTCACATGTCATCTAAGGGTCTGCTTAGATCTATAGCACTAAAAATTAGCAGCTTAAATTAATACCAATAAATTCAAGCGGACTTGCTAATAAATCTAATAATTGTTAACTGCTGCTACTATTAGTTCTATTAGCTGGTTTAAAGTTGTTAATAAGTTCTAATAAGTTATATCCACCTTCAACTCACATCCAACTACCTATCCTACTAAAAATTTGTTAGCTAAAAAATAGCAACTATTAACTAGCTAATTTTTAGTGCTAATGGATCCAAACAGGCTCTAAATGTCTTGAAACTAAATATTTCAAAAATTACTGGTAGTCGAAGTTTTAAAAAACTGACATTAATCTTGTTTAAAATGACAAGAATTGTGGAACGAGGGAGTGCACATCTTGGATATGGTTTTTTTCACGTGCTTTTTAAGTTAAACTCCGTATCTGACTACTACCTCCACTCAAAATTTAAAGTTAATAACTGGCCGGACTTTGTTAATTTCAGCTGCTGTCATTCCACTTAAGAATGTTAAGCTCTGTACCGCTGCTGAGACACACCAGAAAAAATTTAGGTATGAAAGAAGGAAAATGTTCATTTTATGACATACTGTTATTGTTGAGTCCAGGTTTTTTCACCAACTACAAAATCAGACAAATTGCCTCCTCAACATTCGAAACCGTTTAAATTACATCCCGCAGTTTCTAAGACGAAGTATCATTTTTTATTTAAAATATCTGGTAAACAGCTAATAAGGTTTCTATAAGATTATAAAAGTTCCAAAGGAAAAATACAATATTTACAGCTCATGAAAATATATCTAGAAGCTTCCAGAAGTTTTACTTATCTCTAGAAAAATAAAAACTATCTAGAAAAATATGGAAATGGAAAATTTGTTAAACTTTCTAATTGATGTCTAATTGCGCTTGGCAAACATTCCCCAACAAAAACACATGGTGTGTTGGGCTCGGCATAATTAACTGAAGTAAAAGAACTAAGACTAAAACCGAAGTAACAAGAAATGAATGAATCTCGATCATCATTTCGGTCCTAGATAGCAAAGAACTAGAGTTTTTTTTATGTATGATTAATTTGCTTTTTTACTATCGATTAACCGAATAACCTGAGAAATCGAAGAGTTATGGCCCATAGACACATTACAGGCCTTCTAACCATAGGTATATATCTAGAGACTAGTCAATACTGACCCCAGACACTGGATCATTAGCCTCCACCCTTCACGTGGGCCAGTGACGACATATTTCATCCTCATCCACACCAGCAAGAACAACCTAAAACAGGAGAAGTGATGCTCAAACTTTCTTTAGAACCTATCCATTTTTTTGTAGTTTTGCCTCAAAATATTCGGTTAGAACTGAAACCAAATCGAAATAACCGAAACCAAAATGCACGGTTTCTATAATTTTTTTTGTTTTCCAATTCTTTTCGGTAGTGCTTCCATAATTGCTCGGCACTCAGGAGCAACACAGCAACTTAACTTCCTTTGGGGTTCTCTTGTTTGTATTATTTCAAACTTCAAAATGTTTGTGAACTAGGGGAAATCATTACCTTTGTGCAGTGGCGGAGCTAGGAGCAATTCGAGGGGGGGGCAATTGCCTTATGAAGATTAACATGTAACCAAATGCTAGAGCAATTAGGCACTACTTAAAAAATTGCAAATCATATGACTGAAACTAGGGTTTATTAGCATCTCAAAAATCAATTTAAAAAGTAGCAACTAGTCTGGATTGAGTACAAGTTACCATTGAAATAGATAGATCTCGTATAACCTCTACCATCTAGCCTTGTTGATTAGCCATCAAGAGTTTAAACACTAGAAAAAATATAGAAAGAATGAAACAATCGGGAAGGCTAGAGAAATATCCAGCACTGTGAGAATGAGATTATTCAAAAGGTCAAATAAGAGTTCTGAGAGACTTGTGCAGGCGGTAAGAAGCGAGAAGCGAGTAACAAAAGCAGGAAATACAGATGTTGTCAGCAGGGGGGCATTGCCCACTTTGGCCGAGCTGTAGCTCCGCCAGTGCCTTTGTGGGTGAACTCAGAATGTGATAGGGCAGCACTAGCGTCCGGACGTCCGACGCCTGCGTCCCCCGGACGCCCGCGGCTACTCCACCACGTTTGTTCAGATTCACGCATCGCTTGTGCCAGCTCCGTTTCCCGCGCTCGCATTCGAACTGCCCGCTTCAGATCCACTGCCCACGCTGCTCGGGTGATTCACCCCCGCCTCTTCCACACCGGCACGGCGCCCCGTCTCTCCAAGTCGTCCGGAAGATTCGCCCCCGCCTCTTCCACAATAGCACCGCGTGGCCTGTGCCTCCTTCCCACACCGCCAGCAGTGGCCTACGCCTCTTCCACTCATCGTTGGCCGCGACTTGGCCCTGCTCGCCCTCATGGACTCCAACGCCGACGGTCTGCACTTGCAACATGAAGCACTCGAATGCAACATACATTTAAAACAGATGAAGGATTTGGGACATACATTTGCAACAAGTGTGTGAAACATATGGAACATCTAGATAAAACACTTGCAACATGAAAAAACGCTTACTGTAACATAAGACTGAAACCGTGAAACATACCGTTGCAATATATGTGTAAAATCATATGCAACATCCAGATAAAAAACGATAGCAACATACGTCTCGAAACTGAAGATTTTGAACAAACGCTTGCAACATGAAAAAACGCTTACTGCAACATAAGACTGAAACAACTGAAACATTTGGAACATACTGTTCAACATACGTGTAAAAACATATGCAATATCCAGATAAAAAACGATTGCAACATACGTCTCAAAACTAAACATTTTGAACAAACGCTTGCAACATGCTTCTAAAACACTTACAACATATGCAACATCCCCGATTTACTTTTACAACATCCATAAAAAATAATTGCAACATATCTTTGAAATGACTGAAACACCTGAAACATACATTGCAACACAGGGGAGGGGAAGCCTAGTCCGGTTGATTCCAGTCGTTGGGGTCGGAGCGAGCGGCGGCGCACGAGCACCACCAGTACCCCGTGCTTGTGGGTGCCCTTGGCTCGGCCGAGGAAGACCTGAGGCGCCACGACACATGCGCCCCAGCGGCCATGGTGGGTCAGCGGCGTGCACGATGGCGATGGGAGACTGACGGACGGACGGCGGGGGAGCGAGCGTCACAGGTGTCTGGTACGAGTGTGCGGCGCGGCCGGCGGTGGGGCGTGGCGCGGCAACCGACGAGCATGGGGTGAGGAAAGGGGTGCGGACAACGAGCAGCTACGCTGCTTCAGGACCGAATGGATAATCTGGAAGGAGTGAGGGTGTGGAGCGGGAGGATAAGCACGAGGCAGGGGGATTTTATTTTTTTGTTTAGGGCCGCTCCTGGAGCCGCGTCCACACGGGAGCAAGGGACGGGCGCCTGAGTTGGATCATCCTGAATGTGATATTGCGATGTGCCGTTGTATGCATGTATTCCTACTTTAACATTGTAATAATCAGCTGATGTCTCAACTTAGGTACAGTCATACAGATACTACACAGCTCCCACTATTCCGGATGGACCTCCTGGACCCTGCTTCCTCCGGTGCTAGTAGTGTCCGTTGGCACTCGTGGTTCATTCCATCTTATACATATTATCCCTATGCAGATTCAAGATCTTGAGATAATTTTCAGCCTGTTCGTTTCGGCTGAATTGGCTTATAAGCTAGGGCTGAAAGTACTGCTGACTGGTTTAGTGTCAGCGAAAAACACTTAGATTATAAGCCAGATACGAGCGAATAAGCCGAAACGAACAGGCTGTTTGTCTACAATCATCCTGTTGTGACATAACCGTGTTGCGTATGCATGGTGGCGCCGGTAGAAGAATAACCGAACAATAATCGATTGCGCGATTGAGGCCTAAGACAACGGAGCTTGCCAGGGCCCAGCCTCAACCCTGTATGTTCAGCCGCCTCGTTCCCGCCAAAGACTAAATGTCGTGCCCCCGCGTCAGTATGCCGGCCTGTGTGTTGTATAAGGAAGAAATCGGCAGCTACTCTCTGCCTCGTTTTAGTGGCCAGGATACTTGAGGAAACAAGAGTGTGGGCGTCGCTTGGTGCATACAGCACTGTATAGAGCGAGCTAGCGGCAGACAGGCAGACCATCGATCCGGTCAGCGACGACATGGAGGCGGCCGGGGACAGCGCTGGTGCCCGTGGAGGCCTCCTCTGCGTGACGGGCGGCAGCGGCTTCATCGGCTCCTGGCTGGTGCGCCTGCTCCTCGACCGCGGCTACACCGTCCACGCCACCGTCAAGAACCTCCGTGCGTAGCAGAGCAGAGCATAGCATGCATGCTCTCCCGTCTTTCTCTCTCTCTGTTAGATCACCGAATTCATTTGCACAATTGCACGCGCACACGAGACATGATAAATCAAAGCGAGATTTGCAAGTTCTGTTTGGTCGTTTTCGCAGAGGACGAGGGCGAGACGAAGCACCTGCAGGCCCTGGACGGCGCGGACGCGCGGCTCCGGCTGTTCCAGATGGACCTCCTCGACACTGCCTCCTCCATGCGGCCGGCGATCGAGGGCGCGCGCGGCGTCTTCCACCTGGCGTCCCCTCTGACGCTGCAGACACAGGATCCGGAGGCAATAATTCTTCCTGCATGATCGTTCCGCTCTGTCTCATATATAACCACGCCGCCTATTTCATCGTGACGATTACGTACTGCTCGATCGCAGAAGGAACTGCTGGAGCCTGCGCTGAAGGGCACGCTCAGCGTCCTCCGTGCCGCCAAGGACTGCGGCGTCCACCGTGTTGTTCTCATGTCGTCAAAGTCAGCCATGCTGCCGAATCCTGCCTGGCCTGCGGACAAGGTGATAGTAGAGGATGACTGCTGGGCCGACGTTGAGCTCCTCAAGAAACGTCAGGTACAGGCGTATATAGTACACAAATGTTGCTAGATGTAAATTTTCTTGCATGTTAATGTTAGTAGTAAAAATAAGGACCAAATTAGAACGTGTTTATGCATCATCGTGTTTATCAGGTCAGAATTGCACAAAACAATGGTAGATTTATTCAAGCTGCTGGCTACTTTCACTCGATCAGCATGTGTTTACGACTTGCTGATTCATTCACTTTGAGGCGCAGCTTTGGTACCACGTCTCTAAAACATTGACAGAGAAGGCTGCGTGGGAATTCGCCGAAATGGAGGGTTTGCAGCTGGTCGTGCTAAATCCAGGGACTACTCTCGGCCCATTTTTTACGCCATCAGTCAATACCAGTCTGAATATTCTGCTGCAGCTCCTGAGAGGTTAGTCATTTACTGATTTACAGCATCACATCTGAACTGCAAATCTGCAATGAACACATGGTGCAGGTCGTTCCTGAAGGGTGAAAATTAACAACTTAATTAACCAGGCCAGGAGCTTGAGTTGGACGCTGTCTACACAGGGTGGGTCGACGTCAGAGATGTGGCGCAATCTGCGATTGTGCTGTGTGAGAACCCATCTGCGCAGGGACGGCACCTGTGCTTGGCGTCCATGGAACGCTTGGTTGACTTCGCCGATAAAATTGCTGATATGTACCCTGAATTCCCAGTTCACAGGTGATCCGTTTCTGACAACATGCATCATCAAGCTTGCATTGTATGCAGGGCTGTTCGTTTTGGTAATAACCTTTTTATTTTCACATCAGAATCAAGGAGGACAAACAAGGCTGGTTGATGAGAGCAAAGGAACCCTCCAAGAAGTTGATGGATTTGGGCGTTCGTTTCGTTCCGTTCGACGTGACCATCAGGGAGACTGTCGATTGCTTCAGAAGCAAAGGGCTCATCTAGCCCTGTGAATTTGTCCAGCTGTACACCTCATTCTAGAGAACTGCTACAATAATACTTAGCTCAAACAAAATAAACTGCCAGAATGCATCGGAAAGCACCGCCGCCACGGTAGAGTTTTGGGTGCATGGCTCCACTGGGGTTAAACACTACCACAATCCTGAATTACCTTGAGCGCTAAAGATTTTCTTAAGGGACCCGTCAAGAAAAGTGTAGTTTTCTTGGCGGTGCAAATAGACCTCCAAGAAAATATATATTCCTTGTGGGTTGAAGTAGCCAAGGAATATGGATGTTTCCTTGATGGGTTCTAAGCACCTGTAAGAAAATTATTCATTTTCTTGAGTGTAATTGTAAACAGTCAAGGAAAATGACTATTTCCTTGAGTGTATGTGAGTTTAATGGCTATGTATGCATCATCAACCGGTTCAGATGCCATACAAGTTATGCTTTTTATCTACTTCATCCGTTTCAAACTCCAAATCATTTTAGTTTTGTCCTAAATCAAACTTCTCTTGCTTTGACTAGAAAAATGCACAAAAATTTGTAACCTCATGCTAGATTAATAAGATACACTATAAAATATATTTGATAATGTAAAAAAATGTTAATATGTTTTCCTATAAGCTTGATCAAAATTAAACAAGTTTGGCTTAGGACAAAGCTAAAATAACTTACGAATGGATGGAGTAAAAGGCATAAAGTCGATCTATTTTTGGCCATCCAATTATTGTCTGAATCTATTTTTGGTCATACAACTCTAAAACCAAAAATCTTTGACCATCGAACCATCGATACATCCAAATTTAGTTATTAGCAATTTTCAAAGGTGATTTGTATTTTCTAGAAATAATTAAAACTAGTTTATCTATTTCAAAATTAATAACCAATTCATTTTAAATAAAAAATGAAATCAATAACAATTTAGAAAATGTATACCCTAGCACAAATCATTTTTGCACTAAAAATATGTACAGCATATATATTTTCCATTGCCTCTTTTTTTCATACAGTAGTTCTGTAATAGGGCTGATTAGAAAAAAAACATTAAAAAATGAACTGGATAAAAAGAAACCAAAGCGTTAAAAAGAAACCAAAACTGATTAGAAAAAAATCAGTTTTCAAAGAAGAAGAAACCAAAACATTAAAAAAACATCCAGCAGAAAAGTTAAAAAAAATGAACTGGATAAAAAGGGAACAAAAGCATTCTCAGGGGAGTAAAGATAAGTGTGCTGTGCAGATCTCAGATCTCCCTAGATCAGGCTCCATGCCTTTGTCATTCTTCTCTCATTTTATATCTTCCGAAAGAGCAGAGAATAGTAGAATACCTCTCACCCAATACTCCTATAGTACAATCATCCAAACCTTAATCTTCAGATACTCCATTCATCAGGTAATCATGTAAGTTTCAGTGACAAGCTATCAGTTCCTCTTGAGAAGCCGGTGTTGGAACTTGGAAGGGCAGATGCATAGCCCACGCCCCACGGCCTCTGACGAAAAATGTACACCAGGCAGCGGTTGGAAAGAACTTGGCCTCTGACGAAAAATGTGGATTACACCATTGGCAGGTTTGCGTAAGAGAAAAATACTTTTTAGTTTTACGGAAAGAACTTGATTCGAAGCAAGCAACAGTCCTCAAAAGAACTTGTGTCCCGACCTGGGACTGGGAAAAGGGATACACACGTATCACCGGACAAAATCTGCCTTGCTCCAGTAGATCAAGCGCATCGGCATCTCCTCCGACCTCCTCCTGCTCCCTCCTTAATTTTCCCTCCAAAGGAAAAGCATCTCTCGCGCATAGGCCATCATCATAGCCTTCGACTAAACTAAACTAAAAGCCAGTGAACGCCTTTTCTTCCGTTGCTCCATCCATCGCCATGGCTTCCCAACCGCAACCGCCTCTTCGTCGTCGTCTTCCCCTCGTCCCGCTCCTCGTTCTGCTCTGCCTATCCCCGGCATTCGCCGCCGGGAGAGTCCCGGTTTCGGTCTACTACGAAACGCTGTGTCCGTTCTGCTCCGCGTTTGTCGTGAACGACCTCTCCAGGATCTTCCGCACCGGGATCTCCTCCATTTCTGACCTGCGGCTCGTCCCTTTCGGCAATGGGCGTGTCTCGGCCGACGGAACTATCACTTGCCAGGTCAGTGCCTGACATCGTATCTTCCTCTTTGTTTCTTGAACTGGGTATGTGCGTTTCTTAAGAAGTTTTCAGCCGAAATTTTGAGAGAATTGGGTTACTGCATTTGGTTCTTCTGATTTTAGACTGCAGCTAGGTACTACTAGCATTCAGTTTGTTCACGATGTGCTATGTGCGAATATGGTTTCACATTCTGTATTGAATGTATCTGTTCACAGATTAGTACAGCAAGTAATGAACTACTTAACTTTGATGAACAGGCTTCAGTTTGCTCACTCCACTAGTCAATTGCTTTGTTTTGCAGCATGGAGAGGACGAGTGCCAACTCAACGCTGTAGAAGCTTGTGTGATTAGACTATGGCCTGATGCGGTAATGTCTATGTTATGAAATATGAATACGTCATCTTATGCTGAAAAAGAAAGATTAAAATGGTTCTGACATATATTCGAGACAAGCATCTGTTAACGTTTTAGCATCCACAGACCCTTACCACATTATGAATTTCTGATAGTTCAATATTCTATAGTTTATCTTTCGGAATTTAACGATTCAACTAGGTGAGGCACTGAATTTTGCAGACATATATAAAGTGGATCTGCCAATTCCCCAGAAAATGAACTTAAAATAACGCATAACTGTTCTGATACATATATTTATCTTGACACAGGAGCAGCATTTCCCTTTCATTCAATGCGTTGAGCATTTAGCACTGACTCGGAAATGGGACGCCTGGCAGTATTGCTTTCAGGAAACTGGCCTCGCCTATCAACCTGCTATTGACTGCTACAACTCAGGATATGGCAGGCAGGTGGGGTGAATAGTTCTCAGTGGCTGTTTAGTTCTTAAAATTTTGCAAAATTTTTCAGACTTCCTGCACATCAATCTTTGGACGGCGCATGTTTTCTAATTACACGGTTTAGCTTCAAAGACTTCAATCTTTTTGCAGCTGGTCTAACAATGAAAGTACTACATACCATTTTTCAGTTAGTAAACAAGTTTTCCTGCTGTCATTCTGTTTTCAGTTGCTTCAAACTTTTGCAGCTGAAAACACCAAGTTTGAATTTATTCAAAAATTTATGTAAAATATCTATTTCTTGGTTTGGTTTATTAATAAAAATAGACTTAAATTTGACTATATTTGCACAATTTTTTTTGAATAAGACAGTTTCAAAAAAAGTCAACAGTTTGCTACTATAGTAGTTTTTTTCCTAGACTAGCTTTCATTTGGAGCAGTGCTGATCATAGACTAGTTTCATTTGGAGCTCACAACAGTCCCAGCACCACGTTGGGTGATGTCTGAATTACTTCATATATCAATTCAGAAATATTAGTACTGCTTGGTGGCATGCTCTAAACGTTTTAGAATGTGAAATCACAAAAGAAAAATAAGGGATTCAATCATTTTCGCCATGCTACCAATTTGTGCAGAATAGTTATATATTTCCATTGATTATTCATAATCCGATAACCAAACAACTGCAATCATACAGCTTGTACTCCAGTATGCTGCTGCGACAAATGCTCTGCAGCCTCCTCATCAGTTTGTACCTTGGGTGGTCGTCAACGGCAAACCGCTCGGTGATGTAAGATGCGCCTTTTTATTCCTTTGAACTGAGGTCGTCTCATGTATTCAGAAATCTAGTCTAATTTAGCGCCTGCAGGATTACATGAACTTTGAGGCATACATCTGCAGTGCTTATGATGGCAAGCTTCCAGAGGCATGCAAGGGGAAGCACCTAGCAATTGCTCAAGAGACGAAAGCCAGCAGAGGAGACAAGGTGTGCCCAGCTAGCAAAACTATCAGCTAACTCGCGTGTGAAAAATTTAGTTGAGTTTGGTTCCAAGAGGTTCTGCGTTTCTGCTGTCTTGTTGGGTCTCCGTCTAGTCTACTTTGCAGTAGTTGAAATAACAGTGCTGTCAAATCTTTGACAGAAACATCAAATGCAAATGTTTCATGTTGATATTTACTAGTAGCATTTTCAGAAGAAAATATCATACTAGTACGTTTCGTTTGGTGTTCTTCTGGTAAGATAAAGATGCACATGCCTGATTGCTTGGTGCTTGGTTTCATTGGTCTTCTAATACAGAGGAATGCACACGAGGTGGTCATCACACTTGCCATTTGTATCGCCCTATGGCTATGAAGCACCTTGCCAAGATCAAATCCAGTTTTTCGAAAGCAGACAGATCCTGGAGCTAGCCCAGTAGAGTAACAGATAAACATAGGAGTACTAACGCAGAAATAACCTGTAAATTTCTTCAGCCACAGAGTGAAGGCAGGCAAGCATATTGCTTCGGTCTGCATTTGTTCAGCTGTAAAGATCACTGACTCATTGAACCAGAAAAGCGTTAAGGTCGTTCTACAGCCTTTTTATTAGACTAGCAAATATGTTCTGCGTTGTGACCCAATATACATATAAGAATTGGGTCACATTTGAGATATGGAGAAGTAACTCAATACGTATTGGAATTGGACCCTATATTCATTTAGGCACGAGTTGTTCTAACTCGTATGAGTCCAGGTTAAGTAAAAAAAAAGGACGGAAAGAAACTCTCCGGTGTCCGGATAGTTAGGGAGATGGACGAAAAAAAATAAGATAAAATTTTAGTTGTTTAATGTTAAGTATGGATAATGAAAAAAAGTTCAACCTTCTTCAAATAGCAATGTTACATAGACTCGCACGCCTCAAAGTACATGTCTATAACTATTGTTCTTTGAGCCCTTTCCTTCCTCTTTTTAAGAAAAAAGATATTTGCCCATGATGACTGAAATTATGAATAACTGAACAATTATGCGGACCTGAAGAACTGCAGTCTTTGAAGGTGTGCGTGCACATTGAAGTATATTTGCAGCATATCCGATCGTGGCCCTTAAAATAAAGCCATTATTTTTTGAATAAGGGCTACTTCTCCTTTCTAGGATCTATGTTTACCACCTAACTCTAACAAGAGATAAGCTCTTATTTCATTTTCTCTCATATATTTTGATACAATCTCTATGGATATCCATCATATCACACTACTATAATTCAAACTTAAATGTTGTAAACCATATAAATGAACCGTATTCAAATTCACAATTTCAAATGCAACAATTTAAATTCAAATTTAGATTTGTCTAAACATAAAAATAATATAGGCATATAGAAATTATCTCACACCACATAGCAACAAATTACGATAAAACTACAACAGATGATAGTAGCTAGCTACATGAAGCGCACACAAATGCACCACGAGATCATCTCAAAGTCATTCATGCGCCTGCCCATCCTCAATCTCGCTTTGAATCTTGAGGAACTTGTCGAGCATGAGTGGGTTACAATGTTGGTACCCCCTCCCTCAACACCTTGCCTCCATCTTTGATCATAGTCGTAGCCTCTGTTGTCATTTGCATTTTGCTCATTTTCAATTATTATATTGTGCATGATAACAACAACTGGCATTATGTACCATAAGTTGTCCTTGTCCCAAAATCTAGTAAGACTCATCACCATGGAAAATCGAGCTTATAGGACACCAAATGCTCTCTCTACATACATCCTTCCGCACCAATTATTGAGCTTTTGTAAATTGTTACCTTGTGAGTTTCTGTTGCTTTTCACAAAAGTCACCCATGAATGATAGATCCCATCAGCAAGATATTATCTCATAGTGTACTTGTTATCATTAACAATGTACTCGGTTGTGCAATCCCTAAAGTTAGCCATACTACACCCAAATATTACCACTGCCTTCCACCCATGCTATCACCTCCTCCCCTAGAAGCAGGAGCTCCACCAAAGCTACCATTATTGATGTTTGCCATCTTTTGAGATAAAATTTGTTTAGTCATTGCTAATACATAGGTCTTCTATTCTGGTCTCATGGTGAAGATATCACATAACATGATCTTTTGTACCTGCTCCCACATCAGCTTGCGCTCCTCAAGCACAATCTTGCGGTCCTCCTTGATCATCTTACTCTCCTTCTACCTCTCTTCCTCCGGTTTCTCTTTGCAAGATATAATCTTGTACAAGTTCCTTACATGTTCCAGTTTCTCCTTCACTCTTCATCTTCTCCTTTGTTTTCTACCTTCCCATTGGCCTTTTTCTTTGAAATTGGCTCTGATGAATCAAGAGATTGGCTCTGCTACCATCTTTTCTTCATGTGATGGTGGTGATCTTCTAGTCCTTGGCCTCTTGTTTGTATCTAGTGCAAGGAATTTCTGATTATTCCTCACCTGGGGCCAACAATGAATAAATTAGAAGGAATTATGCCCATGAAGCTTGTGCTTCCAACAACTGCATTAAAGATAGATAAAAGTGAGTTCCAAGTTAGTACATATTTAATTTTAAATTTAGAAAAATACACAATACACAAATCAACTTACATGCTCCTTATATGGTATACTGCAGGGATGCTGCCGCTCAACAACTTCAAACATTGCATGAAACCTTATATAATCCTTTTGAATGGTACTCTAACGTGATGCTTAAGAGAGTTAGCATTCCTATTAGACTAGGTTCTTGTGGGCATGAAAGTGATCAACAATCCTTTTCCAAGTGATAAGATCTATGCTAAGACTTTTATGAGATCCACAATTGAATGCGCCTCTTGACGAGTGTACTTGCGTGCCCTCTTGAACGCCTTTGCACTACCAGGTTGTGTATTAGATTGGGTATCAAAGGATTCAATTGGCATTGACAATGAAATTCCATCAACATTCATTTCATGAGACATCATGAGTGTCCACATTTTATCTCCAGAAACCATGGTAATCCATTCACCTCAATTTGACAAGCAACCATTTTGAAACTGACAAGAAAATATAGAACATGAATATAATGCCTTATTATCGACAAATAGGTTGCCTACAACTAAAAATATAACGCCGTTGAATCTAACTCAATTGGTTAGGTTCCTCGTGGTGGAACCTGCCCACCCAGGTTTAAGTCCTCGACTTGGCACGGGTGCTCGCATTTTCCTAGATTTATTTCAGGATTTAATGGCGTTGTACTTTCAGTGGTAGGCGACGTTTTCATCGACAACAAGGCGCCAGTGGTGACTTCGTCAATCTTGAGATGTGCCGGCACAGTCTTTCGGAGGTGCTCATAGGTGTAGGGTTTGCGTACGTGTGTTCATAGGGGTGAGTGTGCATGCACGTTGAGCGTCTGCGTTTGTACTTGTGTAATTCGCAAAAAATAAAATAAACTCTAGAAAATACAAGCACTCATGCGTAAGTCAAGTACTTAGACTTAGATGGGCAGCTCCATCACAAAGAACCTATGTTCACAAACTTGAGTGGATAAGAGGAAACATGTTGCACATATAATGTCGCTCGCATTTACCCAAACAATATTGTATCGGTGAAAGTCCTAGTTTGGTTTTGGTTAATTGATGAAACCTATGACTAACCTTAGATCTAAGTGTGTGAATTAAATAAGGTGATCCAACCCAAGTGGTGAAGCTAGTGATGGCCATGGTGAAGGTGATGGTCACAAAAGAGATGATCAAGTGCTTCACATTTGGAAAAGAAGAAAGAGAAAAACAAAAATAGACTCAAGGCAAAGGTATAATGATAGGAGCCATTTTTGGTTTGCACTCAAGACACCATAGAGGGTGTGAGTGATTTAGGATCGATAGCCGCACTATAAAGAGGGGAAATCTTTGGCTAAACGGTTTATCGAGTGCCACTAGGTGACATGATTCATGCATTGCATTTAGGGACCTAGTGTGCTAATTTCTAACCCTTGTAAAATGCTTTGAAAAATATTAATACACGAGCACACAAGTTCTACACTTTATGGTTAGCAAGATAGAAGCAAGGGTGAAGCGATTGAGGTGTTAGGAAAAGAAAAAAAGGAGGAGACAGCAGTGACCGGACTCTGGCGCTAAGGTGACCGGACTCACCCCGGGCGTGTTCGGGCAGTCAGTGCAGAGAGAGCATAGGTCATGGTCCTTGACTAGACGCTGTTTGTGCCACGGGACCAGACGCCATGAAATCACTGTTCCTGAGTCAGTTCAAGTCTCGGTGGCGTGCGCAGAGCTAAGCAGGGTGGACCGGACGCTGGGCGCGTCAGGTCATCTCTGACCGGGTGCGTCTGGTTATTAACACTGCGCTCTGGGAGCTTAACCAACATGCTGGAGTGTTCGGTCACACCAATAGCGCGTCAGGTCATTAGCTTGGCCTCGCGGGCGCGCGCATGTGCGGACTCGACGCCGGTGCGTCCGGTCACGCTCTGGTGCGTTCGATCCGTTGGTTTGACTCGCGCTGACCGTTTTCAACCGTTGAGATCTAACACACAGGATTTAAAAGGACACATAGCAGGTATTGGCTAACTGGACGCTGATGATCGGATGCTAGGGTACATCCGATCAGTGAGTCCAGTCGTGTTTGCGAGCTCCCAATGGCTCTCTGAGTCTTGGGGTCTCTATAAATAGGAATGTACCAGCTTGGGGCTCACTCTCTTAGCACTTTGACATACTTGACATCCTTGTGAGCCTAAGCAAACACCTCCCACTCATCTCCATCATTGATTCATCATCATATTGAGATTCAGAGTGATTCCAAGTGCATTTGCTTGAGTGATTGTATCTAGTGGCACTTGGAGATTGTTGTGGCTGTGGATTTCTTGTTATTCTTAGTGGTTGCCGCCACCTAGATGGCTTGGAGCAACGGAGGAGCTTCAGCACGTGTTGGTGATTGTTTGTGGCCGGCTTCGGTGATTGTGAGGGGTCTTGCACCTTCCTCGGAGAAGTGCCACAAGGTAGCTCTAGTAAATTGCTCGTGTCATTGAGTTACCTCACTTGTGGATAGGTTCTTGCGGTGCTTCTTGTGGTGGGCTAGGTTTGTGATACCTATTAGCCTCTGAACCACCAAGTATTGGTCGACACAACGGGGACTAGCGTGCCGGCAAGCACGTGAACCTCGGGAGAAAATTGGTGTGTCACTTGTCTCTTGGATTTCTCCTGGTGATTGATTGGTATTC